TTTTAAATGGCTTTTAAAATTAGTAATATTCTTTTCTTTCTGTGTTTATAAAGACGAGTTGATAAAAGAAATCCAAATCGTAATTCAGAGCTCTTGGCATTGTTTGTCTCTAGTCACAGGTTCACCTGGCTACGGCGGACTGCTCATATCAAGGCAGAGCATGTGATAAGCAACAGTGAGATGAGACGGGCCAGAGAGAGCTTTCTCAGGTGCAGGCTCCCTGGCTGAGGCCAGTCTGGCTGATAAACAGACATGGAACCCAGGGACTTCATGAATTTCCATCCATAGTACAGTTGGGAGGAGGCAGGATGACAAGATGAAGTTACAGATGTTTGGAGAAAGGAAATTTCCAAAAGAGATGATTTCTTAGAGGTTAATCAGTTAGCTTTCAACGTCTGCAAACTCTGCCCCCATGCAGCTGGCTCCAGACCCCAGACTAGTGCCCAGGAGAACCTCTCACTGCCTCTAGGGCAGCACTTGAATGTTTTGTGCTGAGCACTGCAAACCTGAAGCACCTCCGTGCCCTCGGGCACCACCACCCAGATGCTCTGAGCTTGAAGTGTCCAAGTGTTCTCGTAGTTTCTGTAGTTGTCAATGACTAGAAGCCAAGCTCTGTTCTCTGCATAGAATGTCTCTTTCCCACTCTTGTGTTCATCTCATTAAATTTGACCTCATCAAGATTCAGTCTCAAGTTTTTTCTCTGTGGGACCTTTTCAGAACACTATTGTATCCAGATAGCTACCTATGATATACAAAATGCGTGTCATTATTGAATTATCTTGTGTTGTTCTTCAATTTTTCCTTAGTGTTGGACTTTTTTTCTCCAAGGAGATTATAAGTGCCTTGGAGGCAACATCATGCTTTATATTTCTGGGGCCTCACACCGTTCGAACATACAGTCAGACTGGTACTAAAGAGATACCTAGTGATTCATTTATTGAACTTGAAATCTGAAACTGCTTATTCCAAAATTGTTACTATGAATTTATCTATTCTTGGACTTTTTGAATGAAAATACTGTGGGTAGTATTCCTTTATATTCTTATTATTGACTTCTATGAACTACAAGAGTTTATGTCTCAAACATTTTGTTCTGTCTGATATTGAGTTTACCACTTTTGAAGAAAGATTTTACAGAGAGAAAGTTGGCTTCTTTACTCCATTTTTCCTATTTTATATATTGGAATTTGTCCATGAGGTATTGCTAAAGCAGGTAGAAGGAAGAGAAAGACCTAACATTTTCATTATTTACTAGAGGTGGGCAAGTCTGAGGCATAGATTAGCCCACCAGAGAAAGGTGGATCTGCCTGACAAATTAAAACTAATCTCTAATGTTACAGCTCTGACCACTGTTTTATTAGGCCAGTGTTTAACACAAAGTCAAGTAGAAGATCACATAGACAGTTATATCTGAAAGGTTTCTCTGAGGGTTGAAGGACCTCATCTTTTTGGAAGCAGACCCATGGATTTAGGAAAAGTCTGGAAAGAAAAACAATGGGTTCCAGCCTTCTTGAGGAAATGCTGGACATTATTGGAAAAAGGATTTGGAATGAAGATTAAACCAGAAGCTTAGTTCTCTACAATGGAGAGACCAAGTGTATGCCCACTGTGATTGGGGGATATGGTGCATTTCTGCATAGTGTCTTGCCATCAGAATGACATTGGGGAGGGAGCTTGGGCTCAGGGCACAATTCTAGAGGCACAGCATTCAGACCTGGGGCAGCCTACAAGGATAATGATACCTGACTTAAATATATTTCATTTTAAATGTATTTAACTTAAAATAGGATGACATAAAACATGGTGACTTAAAATATTTCATACCTTTATTCTGTTTTGATTTATAAGACTATGTAGGGTGGGTAGGTGTATTGGTGAGCTTACAGATAGGATTTTCAGACAAACATTTGGGAAGATACGGCAAACAGGGGCAGGGATTATTATTCTCTGAAATGAGAAACAACCCAATCCTAGTTGGTTTTCCGGTCTAACTAAATGAAATGTGTGGGTGATGATGGCCAGCACCTTGAACAATGACATTATGATACAGGGTATATTGGTTGGGGTCTTCTTAAAAGCAGACACCAAGAAGGGATTAAAGGTGCACGAATGTACTAGAGGAAATGCTAGTGGGAGAAGATGGGGAAGAAACAGGGAGAGGCTGGGAGAGCTGTCCAACCAAATGCAGGTCTGATCCCCCAGTGAAGGAGAGACAGGAGGAAGAGGAAATTTGTATGGAAACCTCTTAGACCACACAGAGTTCTACAGAGTCCTTGAAACAAACTCATCATCAGAAGAGTCTCTTGTTTACTAGAAATGGGTCTGCCTCAGTAAAGCTGTTGTGCTCAGTCATAGGCTGGAGCAGCTGGTGGGAAGTGTTAAGAGCAAACATATGATGGATTCACAACAGCTGGGACCCTTGGTCAACTAGACTCCCTGCAGCATAGAGCTGGGAGAACAATCTCAGGATAGGCACAGGAGCAATACCAGTGCATTACCATAAAAGAAGTGCTGTGTGGACAGTTTCAAGAAACGTCATGGGTATCAATTTCTGTGGATGAAGGGCAGCATCAGGGCTGCTGCCTATGTAGCTGATATGGAGAAAAGGTTTATTTGAGTAAAAATAGGAAGATTTAGAGTAGACTGCAGATCCTGGGAGCTGTTGTGTGGTTCTTCATCAAGGTCACAACCTGAAGATTCCCTGATGGAGAAAGGGCCCACAGTGAATTAGACAGCTTGATGAAGACATGTCATATTCATTATTCAAGACTAAAAAATATGTATAAATGTAGCATTGCTATGGACTAAATTGTGCCCCCCTCAGAATTCATATGTTGAATGAAGCTTCATCTCTAAAGGATGATATTTGGGGATGGGGCCTTTAGGAGGTGATCAGGATTAGATGAGGTTATGAGTGTGGGACTCCCCTGGTGGGATTAGTGGCTTTATTAGAACAGAAAGAGAGAGATATCTCCTTGCCATGTGATGACACAATGACAAGGCAGCCTGTCTACAAGCCACAAAGCCAGGAATCCAGTCTGACAGCACCTTGATCTTGGACTTCCCAGCCTCCAGAACTGTGAGAAATAAATGTTTGCTGTATACGCCTCCCAGTCTATGCTGTTTTATTATTGCAGCCTGAGCAGACTGATACAAATATTTAATAGAGAGAGCTTGAAGTCAAAATGAAGGAACTTTCTTAGTTTTTTAGTTTTATAGTGAAATGCTTTTGAGAAATCACATGCTGAAAGCTGGTGAGTCCTTTAGGTCTTGCTATGTTCTTTGTTCTAACTGTTGCTCTTCCTGATGGCTGGTTGGCTCTGAAGTTGGTCTGTCCTTCATGGTTCTTTGTTGGAAGCAACAGAAGCCTACTGGGTCAGCAAAAGCAAATCAAAAAAAAAAAAAACAAAACACATTTATTACAAAGATTTGGAGTCACTCACCAAATTCAATCACTGAGTTGGAAAGCCAGGCTCAAGGTCCCTTAAACTTGGCTACTCTTCTGAGAAACTACCCCATTTGCCACTGGGCACTGAATGATACTGTTAAGAGTACAGCCACTGAGCAGCTTTTATTTCTGCATGGAGTCCAATTCTATCCCCACTGCTGCTGCTGCCATTTCCAAGGAGAAACGGCACCTCCCTCTGCTTTCCTTTTACTTTATTAGCTCCAACTGGCAGAGCCTAACTTGCATGCCTATGGCTAGCTGCATTCTCAGCGCTTCCAGGGGGAGATAGTCTGTATGCCATACCAAGACTCAAAAAAATGGAGAATTCTTCAAAGAAAGAAAGACGTTCACTTGTTTGGTAGTCAAAATACCCGACACATGTCCACTAGAGTTGGGCATCATCTCTATCCTCCTCAGCATTTTATCCATGATAGAAAGTGTGGCCTCAATATACATTTCTTGAACAAACACGTGTTTCTAGAGAAAGCACATCCTTCGAAGCAATAGCAAATTATAATTCAGATAATGGGATGTTTTATATGTCTGTCTTTATGATATGAGATTTCTGGTTAGAAATTAAAACTGATAATTTTATGGGAACATTATTAGACAAAACTCTCATCGGATGAAATTTTTCTTCTTACCTCTTCTAAAGGGATGTGGGTTTTCCAAATGTCTTTGTCCTTAGCTACAGTTGACTTGCTTAGCTAATTTCTGTTCATTTTTTCAGCCTGTGGTTCACTTGCTTTCTTCCAGTGAGGCTCCATGCCTAGTTGATGTGCCCTTGACTGTGTTTATGTCCCACTGGACTATAATCTCTTTGTGGTCAGGAATTGTGTGTCTGGCTTGCTGTTGTATACAGTACCCACAACAACTCCTGGTGTCTATTGTGCATTCAGTACATGTTTGGTTGAACAAATTGCAGAGTATCATCCATAGGCACCACCCTACTTAAAACAGATTGAAGAAATGATGAAATACATAGTTATGACAGACATTCATAAGGTATAGAGCAGATCTAATTTTCCATTATGTGGTTTGGTTTCTGACAATGTATTTATTCAATCCCCCTCTGGAGTCAGATTCACATGCACACCTATTCTATGAATATATTCATATCATCTCAGAGAGCCATAGGATGACAACATATACTGATTGATAATTTTCCTTAAAGAAACAATTATAAGCAACTGTTTTTCACATTGTTCATTTTATAAGCAACACAGGAACTTTGCATTTAAATAGGAAAATTGAGTGAATTCTAAAGTCAGAACCTAGCCTATTTTGGATCATAATTCACTCGAAAAGAGTCTTAAGGACACTTCTATATTCCTGTATGTTACTTGCAGCCTCCAAATCAAGGACACCAGGACGTTAGTGATGGGCAGTATAAACTTGGCTTGGATTTGTTGGGATGATTTAGAGGTGGTGGGTGGAGAAGGTAGAACAAGAGCAATTCAGATTAAACCATATCATTAAATCTTTTCTCCCGACATAGTCATTGCCTCGTATCTGTGACATACTGACTTTTTCTCCTTTACTCATTTCTTAGCCTGTGGCACTCAGCTCTCCTGTTTCCGACACTAGCACAAGGACTAACTGTGAAGTATGGGATGTCTGCCGATGGGATGTGTTCACACTGACCTCCACCCCCAACGCTTTCTTTGATCATCTTCCTCATCTTTTTCTTACTGTGTCAGGTATTTATCCATACGCTGGCTTCTGGCATTGGATATCCACATTTGCTGGCTATTCCGAGCCCTCATGTTGAGTGTCCTCTAATATTTGGCATCCATGGATGGGGCTCTTGAGCTGCATGCTTCTTGCTGCTCTCCAGAGGCCCTAGTCTGCAGGAAGCTGCTCTCAGCAAGCTATCAAGTTAGAAAAGGAAATAATGACTCATTAGCTGAAGAGTAAATATCTGATAAGGCCTTATCTGCCAACCTTCACAGTAGTGCTTGTGTTTTCTCCTGGAACAATTATTTGAAAAATAAAAATTTTAAAGAGAATGATAATATTTAAGGTCTAAGGTGCAGGGTACTAAGGATTTGGGGAACAAAGGGAGCATCCTGATGCCAAGAAAGCTGCATCTAAATTGCTTTTCAGTTTAGGATCATCCGTGAATTTTTGTGATGATCCAGTCAAAAAGAAAAAAAAATAAACTAAAAATGAAGAAACAGTTTAAAAGAATTATTTGACTCAATTTCTTTTTAAGTGACTGGGCAACAACCATGGGTGCATGAGTTGTGCATGTAGATACGGCTTTAGTTATTTCTTGGGTATTTTAAATTTAATTAAACGTGAACACAAAAAGCCAAAAAGACCTTTATTTGTATAAGGGCCTCTTTCCCCCTTCTATTATGAAAATAAGGACATAACCTTCTAGCAAAAAATAACTATAAAAAACTTATAATTAAAGGACATATGTCCAATTTCCAAACTTCTGAATTGGCATGAAAATATTTCTGTTTCTTTTCTCCTTCATTCCCTGCTGCAAAGAGTTATTTAAAACTCAACACAAAATATCCACCCCCACAGCTCATATACCCAACATATAAGTTGGGAGTGTATATCAACTTTCGACTCATAGATTCACCAAGTAAAAAATGATAAACTTTTAATGATTTCAACACTAGGGGGGAAATGTCTTAACCACCATAAAACTGGTGTCATTGGAAAAACAATCTATTTTACATCTCCATATTAATATTATTTGCACTGTTACACTTCTTCATAAATGGCAGAAAGTGGCTTGCTTAAGTCTATTATTGCATGCAAGGCAACATTTTTTTAAACATAGAATATATCTGCGTAACATGCATCCAGGATGAAGCCTAGAGAAGAAAATCACTCATTGAAAGTGTCACTTGTTACTGCAACCGTAATCAATAGAGCATTAAACGTCACAGTTTATTGTAATGAATGGGGAATAAACACGAAGACCACAGTGCACTCTTGTAAATGGTATGACTTGTAAATGTCAGTGAGGACTTATTTAACACTAACAGGCTATAAGAATTTGCAAAGGGAGTTTTAAAATTCTTCCAAGACAGCTGAAGGTTACATGAAGAAAGGGCAGCTATATATAGCATGCACACACACAGGTAATGTAAAATATGAATGGATAAAAAAGAACCAAACTCAGTTCTAATTGGAGTCTTCATTATATTTGGTATTCTAGAAAGTGCACATATTGTAGCCTGCAAGTTTGGCATTATGAATATTTTATTGCACGCCTTGTTTTATATCCACATCCAAAACCCAGAAAATGGGTTTTCTTTTCTCAGTATAAGCAGTATACACACATAGGGAGAGAGAAAAAGGAGCCTGGTAGATAAATGCAGCTGAGAATGCATCTTTCAGATGAGTTGCAGTCTCTTCCTGGGAAACTGTTTCAAAGTTTATAATATGCAATGTTTAGCCCACAAAGTTTTCATCTCCGCACCACTGGAGGTAAATTTGGTTTGATTGTTCTAGGTGTTGCTCTACAAACTTGATCGTTGATAGAGAAGGTTCTTAGGGATTTTCCAAACCCCATGTTTTTATATCCAGAGTTTCATGTAGGACAGTCAGGACATTCTGACGTGGGTGGAGAATCAATGTGACATGATAAGCCCCTGTGGCTTAAATTGATCAGGAAATGGACAGTGTTGATTGAAAAAACCATATCTGAGAGATGACCTGGCCATTTTCAAAGCTAAATTCTCTTTTATGGGACTAGTTTCAGTTTTTCTCCGTGGATTTACTTCAAGTTGAAAATATTAGGGAGACTCCATGGAAAGGATAAGTATCATGTTCTGAATAGGCTGTCGCAATTAAAAAGGCGATATTACAATTTTTATAATGCGAGTTTCAGTTAGCACTCTTCAGAAAAAAAAATGGTGAAAGAAAAGGCCTGGTATAGTTTCTATTTAAACAAAAATTCATTACAGCATCCTGGTATTTTTAGGGGTCAAAAGGAAAGGAAAGAGGAATTCCTATGCATATCACCAGCTCAGCCCCTGAGAAGTACAATACCCCCCATGCTTCCAAATGCATCACAAAATTAGCAATCCAACTTTCTATACAAATGGATACAATAATTTAACATTTTTTTGGTTGGTTAGTAAAACCGTTGCTTCCAACGTAAGGGCAATCATCAAAACAGTGCAGTTGCTTTCTGTTTCTAATAATTTCTTTTTTTTTTTGGCAGAAAACAATAGGCAATTTAATCTGGAGCACTGTTAGCCATTCTCTCGCTTTCTGCACCCGGGACTGACTGTGCCTCCCGGGCGGCAGCTGCTTCGGGGTCCAGTCCCCAAACCTCTCACCCCCAGAGAAAAAGCCCGCTCGCTGACCCCGACCTAGAGACAACCTCAGCTTTCAAGAGAATGACCAAACGCGAGTGCCCTTGGTACAGCACTTACTACCACTTTCGATCCCTCCCCAACCAGCTGGGATATAAGATGCCATCTGATTGGAATATGAAAATTGAAGCATTTCTCTAATAGCACAGTACCATTGATGAAGTCTCCATATCCATAGATTTTCTAGTCCAAATGTGTGTGAATATATATATTATATGAGAGTGTATAATATATAATAATTTCTATATATTTTATATAAATTACATATATATATCTATATATAAATAAGATACTTTCTGTCGCCGTACGTTGCACCGTTCAGCGCTGCGTGACGGCAGCGTGAGAAGCAGAAATGCCCGGGGGCATCTCGGCATGCAGCACCCTGAGCTCGCTTCACAAGCCGTGCAGCTGTCCAGAGCCTGGCTTTCCGGCAGTCCTCTTCTCGTCTCTTCGCTTCTGCTTGGTTTTTATGAAAACAATGACTCTGACGGATTTGCACCTGTGCTGGCGCTTGGGAAAGGTCCATGCAGGAATGGGCACCGTCACGTGATGAGTGAGATGGCATCATCTCAAAAAATAAACTGAAACAAGATGCAAATTTAAAAAAACAGCACAGGACTAGAAAACTCAATTTTTGGGACATATCTAAAAAAGGGGACACGAACAGTAGACATTTGTTCTCCTGGTGGGGACAGGACTGAAGAGGGAGGAGGGAAGAGGGACTCGATGTCTTCTGTTCACAAGAGAGTGCTTGGTGGGGGTTCTTCAGAGTTTTTCAGGGGATGGGACCCAAATGTAGTGGCCAGACTGGTCCTCGATGATTTGTTTGATCTTGTTGTAAATCTCTTCCAGTGAGTCACCCTGTACACTGGCTGTGAAGTATTCTCCAAACTCCTGCTCCAGTTTCATGGCTTTGTCATAGATCTTATTTGCTTGTTCGTATGTCTACCATCGGTTCCTTTCCATAAGTGCTTCAACGGACTTGGGCTTGATGAAAATGACAGCGGGGTAAAGTTGTGCTTGCTGCAGCCTCTTGATAGCATTGCCGGAAACATCTAAGATGCAGTACTTGCCCCCACTGACTGGATGCTGGTCCCATAGAGATTATCATTAAATTGGCCTGCTTCAATGAACTTGTCGTCCTGAATATCCTTCTCCATCTGTTCTTGGGAGACCACAAAGCGGTGGTCTTGTCCATCCACCTCATTATCACGCCGAGGCCGAGCGGTATGTGGCACACGGGATCCAAATTTACGCGGGAACTCCGAGATCAGGTCATCGTCGACTCTGTCCTTCATTGGGCCCAGGATGGTCACAGGCCTTGCATAGTGAATTTCCTGCCGTGTCACTGGCTCATATGACAAGATTGCACCCTCTTGTCCTTTGGAACTGCTTTCGCTGTCACTGGTGTTGGATGTCACTCCCTGTTCCTGTATGCTGCTCTCCTGGGCCATGTTTTCTTTGCTCTTGTAAAATGGAAACTTTCGAGAGAGGCGGAAACTCTTTTTACGTTTTGTTTTGATCGACCTGTTAGACTCAATCATCCCCGTCCTGGCATGGAACTTCACGGTTTTCAATCGAGCTCTTTCTTCCTTTTTTTTCCACCCTCTTCTTACTGGGGATCACACCGATTTGCTCGCTTTCTCCATGCGGGGTCACCAGTCTCGCCTGCCACCACTCATCATCAGACGCATTAATGACGTGCAGAATGTCACCATAGGAGAAGCTGAGCCCCTGGCTTGGCAGGCAGCTGTCCCGAGTTCCGTCATAATCAAACGGGGCCCTGACATACAAAGACCTCTTCTCACTTGTTGGGAGGGACCCAGACCCAGAGCTCATGCTGCTGTTCATCATTTGTTCTCGCAAGTCGTGTATCTTCAATTCAAAGCAACTGTACTCTGGCGCCGGGTGGGAGTCCAGGTCTAGTGCCGAGAAAGCGCCAGCTCCCGCCAGCCCTTCCGTCCCGTGTGGGAGACCACGGACACCTGTTTCTAATAATTTCTAAAACAGGATAGAGTGTCCTGGGATTTTTGTTTGTTTTTGTTTTTGTTCTTTTTAGATTCCATGACTGAAAATGATACCAATAGAATAGAAAGTTTATTTCCACACCAATATCTAGAATTTAACAAATGGCAAGTTAACAAAATATATAAAGCAAGACCAAAGTAGAATGAGAAAAATATTAAATGGTAAAAATAATGAAAATAATACTATGTGGCTGGCATTGTGTTAAGAACTTTGTATATGTTCTATTAGTTTCCCACTGCTGTCTTAACAAATGAGTCAAATGTGGTGGTTCAAACAATACAAATTTATTATCTTACAGCTCTGGAGGTCAGAAGTCTGAAATGGGTCATAGAGCTGTGTTCCTTTTGGAGGCTGTGGGGGTGGGGAGTCTTTTTCCTTGCCTTCTCTAGCCCCAAGAAGCTGCCCCTATTCCTTGGCTCATGGCCCAGCCTATCATTGGCATTACAGCTCCTCTGAATTTGACTTTCTTGTCTCACTATTTTCCCGATTGGCCCTTGTGTTTACACTGGGCTCACCCAGACAATCCTGGCTACTTTCCCCATTTTAAGATCCTTAACCACATCTGCGGTGTTCCTTTTTCTATGCAAGGCAACATAACGCCTTAGGCTGGGCAATGTGATATGGACCTCTTTGGGGACCATTGTTTTGCCTACCACACAGGGATGTTATAGAAATGTTGTATAATTTCTGGCCCTACTCTCTCTCTGCTAGTTGACCTTTATCATCTGTTGTTTTGAAATGCCCCTTTCAATACTGGGAGAGAGTCCATTACTGGATATGCAGGAAACAGAAATGACATCATTTTACTAAGAGCTTCAAACTCCATCCATGCAAACCTTTCCTCAACATATTTAACCTATAGCAAAATTGATTCCAATATAAAAGGATTCAATTTTAATTACCTTTTCTGCTCAATCTCAACATGTTTGTTTCTTACAAAGGTGCAACTGAGCTGTGAAATGAGCAAAGGAAGTTAGAGAATTGGTTTACATGAAATAAAACTATGATTACTTAGGGAGAATATACTCCTACCTAATAAACAATGGGATGACAATTATTGAACTGTCTCCGGGGAGAAAGGCCATCCAGTGGGTTTTGCCGAGAATCATGGCAGGATGGTGTCTTTCGCATCCTGCTGACCATCTTACATTGTAGACTGTGCTTTGAGAGAGACATGGTGTTTACTCCTCTTTTGAGGGAAAGAAGCAAAGCAGAAAATTACTTAGGATTTTCTTTTGGGGCTCATTTTCTATTATCCTGTGTATGCTGACATTTCACAGTAATGAAATTCTAAGTACTCTTGTCTGTGCCTTCAGGGTAACCAAACCAACGATATAATGAAGTTATCCACTTAAGACTGGTTTTATGAAAGAAAGAAATCAGTACATAAACCTGTACACACTCCCCCAATTCCATGTTCTAGTGAAAACCATTTAAAATAAGATCTAGTTTTAGAATAGGAAAGTAGGTCTTGTGTTTCCATTTTGTATTAAAACCACTGATTTTGAATCTTTTATTTTTGACCCGAGTTGCAAAGATATCTTTATAGATGTAAGTAATTATTACTGGGGCCTACTCAGGCTAATTCATTTAGTTTCTCTCCTATAAAGGCTACTCCTTCACATGTGCTCTGGGTCCCAGCCCCTCTTACATCCTCAAGGACCACATCCCTTGCTTTATCATGTCTTGACTGGGCATCCTTAAATCTCCCTCTCTGCAAAACAATTTCCTTCAGCAGAGAAATATCCTGTGGTATCCACTGATAGTAAAAAACCAAAACTCAAATAACAGCAAACAAACCTCTCTTTGATGCCCATCTTCATGATGCAAATTCTCCTCACTCCTTTATAGCCAAACACGATCCAAGGGTTGTCTACGCCCACCATCTCTACCCCTTTGTCCCGTTTAGTCTTTCTTTGTTGCTAGTCGTACATATGTTAGGCAATAAGAGAAATATAGAGGATAATATAATGGATTTCCCACTTAATGTTTTAAAGTCTCAATATTTTGAAAAAATTTCTCCCTAACTTTTTTTTAATGACTTTTTCATTGAAGTAGAGTTGGCGCACAATGTTACATTAGTTTTAGGTGTACAACATGCTGATCTGACAGCTATATATCTTAAGCTATTCTCTCACAAGTATGGCTACCATCTTGCTTTAAGATTTTTTTGTGATTTTTTAAATTATTATTAACATGTAATGTATTACTTGTTTCAGGGGTACAGGTCTGTGATTCATCAGTCTTACACAATTCACAGTGCTCACCACAACACATACCCTCCCCAAGCAAAATAATTTGGTAGAGACAAATCTTCCTTATGCCTTCCAAACCCCAATTCATTCCCCTTATAAAGGTATCAGTGCTGTTCTGAATTCATGTCTATCACTGACTATCTTCTCTCTAACCAGTTTTCTCTTTTCCGTCCTATTTGACTTCTCCATTTAGATGTTTCATTGGCTTGTCAAATTTGACATATCAAAAATTGGACCCTTAGCCATTGTAACTTACTTCTCTTTCTCCGTCATTTGTAAGTCAGTGTTATCACCACCTGCCTCGTTGTTTAAGCCAGAGACATGAGGGTCTTTCTTAACTCTGTTTCTGCTTCTCTCTACACGTAATCTTACAGTTGTTCTAGATTCTATCTTCAAAGCTTATGTGCTGGTTCCTGGTCTGTTTGTCCTTTCATTGCTCTGTTCTCCATTGAAGGTGGCTGCTTCCTGTGGTCTGAATTTCCCAGGCTCCAGCAAAAGCTGGCTTCCAGCTGGATATTGTCAATGGGAAGCACTTTGTGGTGAGTAACAGTGGGGGAAAGTGTCTCTTGTCTTGGGCACACCGTCTCCGTAAATCGCCTCATCGCATTCCTAGCTTCAGCTCCTTCTGAACTGGTCCACTGTGGTTCCTGCTTCCACCCGATGATGTAGCCTTGGATTCTGCTAATATCACCTCCTCCCGCTGACCCTCCAGCCTTGGGGTGGTAGTGTTTTCTTGATATTGTTTATCCATGAAGTGTCTCACTGTCATCTCCTGTTTTGTTTCTCATCATTTCTATTATAAGGAAAACCAATTCCCTGCATTAAATTCCTTCATTT